AGTGGGCACTGCCAGCCCATGCCAACCATCCASRGGAGCAGCTCCAGCAGCAGCAGMAGCMAYTCTGARTTTTTTATTGCAGGAGGATCCAGCCCACAGGCAGCAGGGCACATCCACAGTGCTCACCAATGCCACCMACGTTACCACAAACAGCTCCAGCTTGTTCAACTGGAGCAATTCCCAGCCACATGCATCACACCCCTGCAGGAAGTGCAGGAAGAACAAACACCTGAGGAACCTGAGCACAAAATACAAACCCATCCTGGAGGAGCCTGAGCACAAAATACAAACCCACCCTGGAACCTGAGCACAAAATACAAACCCAGCCTGGAGGAGCCTGAGCACAAAATACAAACCCACCCTGGAGGAACCTGAGCACAAAATACAAACCCATCCTGAGCACAAAATACAAACCCATCCTGAGCACAAAATACAAACCCATCCTGAGCACAAAATACAAACCCATCTTGAGCACAAAATACAAACCCACCCTGGAACCTGAGGACAAAATACAAACCCACCCTGGAACCTGAGCACAAAATACAAACCAATCCTGGAACCTGAGCACAAAATACAAACCCACCCTGGAGGAGCCTGAGCACAAAATACAAACCCACCCTGAGGAACCTGAGCACAAAATACAAACCCACCCTGAGGAACCTGAGCACAAAATACAAACCCACCCTGGAACCTGAGCAAAAAATACAAACCCATCCTGGAACCAAGCACAAAATACAAACCCACCCTGGAACCCCAGAACAAAATACAAACCCAACCTGGAGGAACCTGAGCACAAAATACAAACCCACCCTGGAACCTCAGCACAAAATACAAACCCACCCTGAGAAACCTGAGCACAAAATACAAACCCACCCTGAGAAACCTGAGCACAAAATACAAACCCATCCTGGAGGAACCCAAGCACAAAATACAAACCTACTCTGGAACCTGAGCACAAAATACAAACCCACCCTGAGGAACCTGAGCACAAAATACACCTCTGTGGAAAGCCTCACTAACTGTAAACTTTGAAGTTTTACCTGCCTCTGTTTCACACACGACTCTGCACNCAACTGGAGCAATTCCCAGCCACATGCATCACACCCCTGCAGGAAGTGCAGGAAGAACAAACACCTGAGGAACCTGAGCACAAAATACAAACCCACCCTGGAACCTGAGCACAAAATACAAACCCATCCTGGAGGAGCCTGAGCACAAAATACAAACCCACCCTGGAACCCCAGCACAAAATACAAACCCATCCTGGAGGAGCCTGAGCACAAAATACAAACCCAACCTGGAGGAACCTGAGGACAAAATACAAACCCAGCCTGGAACCTGAGCACAAAATACAAACACATCCTGGAGGAGCCTGAGCACAAAATACAAACACATCCTGGAGGAGCCTGAGCACAAAATACAAACCCACCCTGAGGAACCTGAGCACAAAATACAAACCCACCCTGAGGAACCCCAGCACAAAATACAAACCCACCCTGGAACCCGAACATAAAATACAAACCCACCCTGGAGGAACCTGAGCACAAAATACAAACCCACCCTGGAGTAGCCTGAGCACAAAATACAAACCCACCCTGGAGTAGCCTGAGCACAAAATACAAACCCAMCCTGGAGGAACCTGAGCACAAAATACAAACCCACCCTGGAGGAGCCTGAGCACAAAATACAAACCCATCCTGAGCACAAAATACAAACCCACCCTGGAGGAACCTGAGCACAAAATACACCTCTGTGGAAAGCCTCACTAACTGTAAACTTTGAAGTTTTACCTGCCTCTGTTTCACACACGACTCTGCACAACAAAAAGCATCCAAATTCCTATACCGAAGTTATTTTCACGGCCAAAGAGCCACTTATTGACCAAGGTTGTTGTCCTTTTGCTCTTCAGGTTTGTTTTGTTTTTTAAATAAATCCTTAAGGCAGAGATGTGAGGGAGGAAATTGCCTACATTTAAAAATACCTAGTGAACATGTTAAATTGGATAAGGCTTCTCCAACCTAACACAGCAGGTAACATCRGAAATGGTAGGCTGTGTATAACTAAAAAGTCAAATTATTGTAGTCTTCAATATTCACAAGGGGGTACAAAACCACTGACACCCCATCACCACTGCTTTTTAAGGATTTTTTAAGTCAGCAGGGTTAGAAATGATCTCCTGTTACAGAGTGCCTTCCAGCACCTGGAAACAAGACAGATTTTTATCAAAGAACAGCAGCCCCGAGGAAGGAAACATATATTCACCAGAACCCCAACGAGTTAAACCCTGCAGCAAATTTCCTAAAACAATGGCTTCAAGTTGTCCTGGCCTTCCCAAGGAGGAGCAGGATTACACATCCTGGTAATCCACTGGAGGCAATCAGCAGGATTTTCTTCGAGGGTCATTCGAAGGAAATCAGGGAAGAATGCTGGGCTGTTACAACCTGCCACTGCTTGCTCAGGAACCAATTTGCATCACCAGAAAGGTGTCAAACCATGGAGATGCTGTTTAAAAAGCGAAAGAAAGCGTTTTACTGGGCTGGAGCTGGAAAGGGGAGGGCTGGGTAATCACAGAGGATCAGGAGGGGAAGGAATCAGTGRGAGTGACCCCAAAGGGGCACAGGGCTGGTAAAGGCAGTGCCAAAGCTCAGAGGTGCCCACTGAGGAGTTAATTGTGCTGAGCAGGGCAAAAGGGCTCCTCAAGGAAGGACAGGGATGGATGGAGGGAGAAAAGGGGGAATGTACCCACCTTTGCTTCCACCTCAACCCCATCACTGCCAGGAAAATCACAGGAAAAGGAAAAAAACAAAACAAATCCCCATTTTGCTAAACAAACCAGGAAGGAAGATTACTCAGGGAAAAGAAAAATACAAAACAAAAAAACAAATTCTCCCCTTGCACCTAGAGAGAGACAGAGACATTTCATTAAATGCCATTAATCTCCACAGACCCAAGCATTAGCTAGTTAATTAGACTAAAGTACAGTCACATTTTAACGCTGAGCATTCGCTATTCAACTGGGATAAATGAACAACTAAAGTCCAAAACCTTAATTCAGTGTCTAATTAAAAAACAGAAAACAAAATATTCAGATTATGAAATGCTTGCCAGAATAATACATCATAATTGATGTAAAATCTGTTCTTTAGCGCATCTGATTTTCTCCAGACTCCAAAATAGGCTGTTTTCAATCTTAGGATTTTTTTTTTTTCAACTGCACCATAGAAATTCCAACACTTTAGAAAGGACAAATGTGTAAAAAGCAGCAACAGACACTGCTGACCGCTCCAGAGAGAGCGAGTTCCTGCTAAGAGTGGAATTCAACGTCCATTCCAGCATTTGCCCCATGCGTGAAAGATGTGTGTTACCAAAAACCAAGGAGAAAAACCCCCTACGTGTAGAAAAACAAAATCCCCTTTGTCAAYACGACCTGATTTTGCATTCTTTCGCACAAAAGTTTAACTCGCTAATATCCTCGACTTAAAACTTGTCCTGTTTTTTTTTTAATTGTTAGAGAAGAAATCACATGGGACAGCTTAACAGCTCTGTTGTAAGCATTACARACTACTCCAAATAACACTGTATAAACAGATAACTGGCATTAAAGACAGTTTAAAATGTAAATTAACCTTTAAAAAGTATTGGGAAGGGGGAAAGGAATATCAAGCACAAGATAAAAATTCTGCTAACTTTAAATTGCATATTACAGAAAGCAGCAATCCAACAACACAATCAAGAAGCCACAAGCCCCACACACTATAAACCCCTTAGCTCAGAGCAGAAGCAAGCCAGGCACACTATTATTCACCAATTAGTTATTAGMTATGTCATAGGAAGAAAAGAACCTCCAAACATTTGCCTACATTAGTCTGGCTTAAAATTCTGCCAGTAAACTGTTGGGGTTTGTTCTTCTTATTTCTTTAAAGAACTCCTTAGTAGAAGTAAAGAACTCTCCTGTGCTATGCCTGGAGGTTTTAAAGGACACAGGGTTTTTTTCTATATTAAAATTTTGTGCAATCTTTAACATCATGGTTCAACACACAGTTACACTGCTTGCTTTCATGAGGGCTGTATGGATAACACAGTTCAGGCAGTTGGTCAGGCAGTTTCCCACCACCAACTTTAAACCACTTTTCCTTTGCATCCACAACTTTGCAGCCTTTTCCTCCCATTTTTACCAGAAGACTGAAGTAATCCAAGATGACAAGTGTGTATACAAGTGCCATACATCAGTTAAATTAAGTTTTTTCCAACAGACTCTCAAAAACAAAATTTAAAGAAGTCAATTACAAAAGTTTGCTTTCAAAATTCACACTCTGCGAGTTTGGCTTTCAAACTGATTTATTTTCATTAAAGCACAACCTAAAGAGCAACAACTACTTCCATAAGCAGCTCCTCCAGGAGAAATGGCACCTGGTGGCATTGGAGGGAGAGCACAAGGCTGAAAAGCCTCTGTGTCCCTACATTGTCCCCATGTCACCACGCTGACTGGTCACACCATTGCCAAGCCACTGCTCTGGCATTTGCCCAGCTGGACACTCATTGCCACTTCAGTGCCACCCTGCTCGGGCACAGCAACACCCTGAGACCCCCTGAGTTCAGAGCCACATCAGAAAGTTGCCAGCCAAAGCTTACACACAACTCCACGCACATCTCTCGTGTCATACGAAAGAAAATTTGCGAACAATGAAGGAAGAGATACATCCCCATCCATCACAACCACAGAACTGAAAGCTCAGCTTAAAACAAGCCTGAAGCCTGCACTTAATCCAAACATTCTTCATAAAAACCAGCACAACACAGAGCTCAGCTAAGGGGTTGTGGTACCAGCACTGCCCAGCCCTGCACGGACACGGAGCAGCTCCTGCACCACTCACAGATCCCCCAGAGCAGCACTCGGCTTTAAAAGCTTTCATTGCCAATTCCCCGGCTTGAAACTCGAACTGCCTGGCAACAATGATTCTCTGTGCGCCTAAAATCCTATTATTGATCCTGCTACTTACCTTGGGCTGTGCTCGTCGGGGAAACGCAACTTTAGGGTCAATCTGAGGAAAAAGAAAGGGGAAATCAACAGGATAGCTTTGGTTGTCATTTTGTATTTTGATTTTTAGATCACTGAATTATTAATCCCTCATTTCTCAGGCTTGTAATTCAGCACACCGGGTCATCCAGAGYTACTCTGGAAATGATAGGTCGTAGTCTGGGTTTGTTTTGGAGGTTTGGAAGGGGCAGGGAGATGGGAAGAGAGGAAGAAAATATCTCTTCTTTGCTTTTCCTCCATCATCTTCTGGGCAGCAATCCCCGTGGGTATTCAGGGAGCTCGGGATCACCCTCTGGGTGCTGCCTCTACCACCAAAATTCGTGTTGAGGATTATCTGCATGCCCTGGAGGTTGCACAGAAAGAGGGCCAGCATTCCTGCCCAACATCTTAACTTGGTGGCTTTAACACCTGCACCTTCCTGCAGCTGAGTTTGGGGTTACTTTTTTCTTGTTTGTTTTGTTAACTGACAAGCAACATCACACAAAAAAAGTGATGTCAAAACCAAATTATCCACATTTCAATTATTCAAACTAAAACATTCAAACGACTAGAGTGTCTCCATAATAATATGCCCAACTGATCTGCTTTGCTCACTCTCAAAGAAAAATATATGAGCAATGCAAAACTACAACGGGGATGGGAGCAGAGCAAGATACAAGCGAGTATTTCATGTGTGTGGAACAAACAAGCATTTAAACCAGAAGGAAACAACTTCCTAAAAAAGGTTTTCCATTAAGGAGTTATTTGGACTGTTAATGAACGAAGCATGGCAGTGGAAAAAAAAAGGGGAAAAAAAATCCTTGCTTTCACCCCAGTGCCCTGTTTTAAGATGCAGCGTTGGCTCCCCTTGCGCTGCATGAATTAGCGTGTCCCCTCTGCCGTTCCAAAATGCTAATTCTGCAGCCTCACACACAACTTCCACACGGGTCAACGCTAAGAAGGGACTCCTCTCTCCCACTCAAAAATTACTTGAAACCAAAAAGGCAWCATCACAGATGCAAATAAATGGCACCCGGTGGTGTTCGGAGGGAGCACGCAGGCAGAAGGCTGGATATAAACAAAAACATCAGATCTTTAAACAACTGCCCCCCCTAAATCGCAATAAAACGCTTGTGTGCTGCTGGTTTCACTTCTTGTTCTCAGCAGCACTTGCATACAGATATTTTCTAAATAAAGGGTCTGGAAAAGGATGTTTTAAAGTACTAGACTACCTGAACTGTGCAACCTGCGACTGCTTTCAGTGTTGTCCYTGCCTGCATGACCAACTGAAACCACTAATGCTGATTGTGTTAAGCATATTCAGAACTACAGGTTTTATTTTAGAGTTTGGGTTTGGTTTTTGTTGTGTTTTCCCCACCTCAAGCAAACCCTGACGAGGAAAAGGAGATGTTTCCATTTGGCATTGTTATTCCTGTGGTGATAAATATTCCTGTCACTGCTAAATAACCACGGGCCTTTCCTAAAAAGCAGTTTTACTCAATTAATTTGTCAAAATGGGAAATATAGCAGACATTTGATGTGCAACTGATAAACTGATTTGCCTCCATCAAGTACAAATATTGTATCTTTTTTAGGACACACCTGAGAAATGAGCGATTACATGCCACTTTATTGTTCAAAAAGCATAAAAAGTAAAATTATTTATCTAGAAAGCTAACCTTTTCATAGAGATTAACATTATCTACAAATATATTCAGCACTGACTAGGCATTTGTCTACTGGGGAAATACAACAGGTACAGATTTTCCACAGCGAAACACAAAGGTGGAAGCAAATATGCATGTTTTTATGTTTGCTCCAAAAGTACAGGATTTCCCACCAAAGAACACCAGGCCCACCAGAGGGACATCACTGCAAATCCTGCTGGTAAAAAGCCGGGAGAGCCATTAAACTCCAAAGCAACACATTCATTTTTGAAGGTCAGTTCAAAGAGCATGGAGTCCTTTGCACCACAGCGACAGATTTTCTAAAAGAACTGAATTTTCCTTCCCAAAACCTTTTGGATAAACACCATCAGCCTTTGAAGACAAACACTAGCAATGAATGTGGCAAATCCATACCTTTTGCATAACCCTGTCAACTATTTAAACAACAACCAAAAAGAAAAAAAAAAAAAAAACCAAAAAACAAAAAAACCAAAGTTCTACCAAAAAAAAAAAAAAAAATTAGTTAGTTAGGTACAACTCTACTTACTGTATCTACAAATCCTCTAGGAAATGACTATAATACTATTTCTGATATGAATGGCCATTACCTAAACAAAGCTTTTAACGTAACTGTAAACAAGAGCGACGTTTCCATGCCAATACCCAACCGATCTGCCTCCTGTGCTGAACGTTGAAACAGAGTCAAATGCCTTGTTATACTGCACAACAGTTACTACAATGCTCTACAAATACACGCCTGAAAGGACCTGCCCGGCTCTGTGCTTTACTTTTAAGCTGCGTTACTGATTCTAAGGTCAATTTTGTATTTGGATTGATTCAACCATTATCACACGAGCAAAACCGAGGCAGATTTGCCCTGGTGAAGCTCTTCACCCCTCCCCCAGAGAAGAGCAAATTAATACATTGCAGGGACTAGACTGTGATACAAGAAAAAAGCTGGGGGAGGACCTAATTATAGTCAGAAATATGACAGGGTGTCCTCCCATGATTGTTTTTTTTTAAACCCTCATTCAAGACACTGTTTGCCTTTGTTCTTCTTATCTAAATTTATCTTTAAAAACACATAGAGAATATAGCTGTACATGAAAAGTCTGGTGAGTTTAATTTCAGGAGCACGGCTGAATCAGTTATCTTACCATATCTGATTAAACCTAAAATCAAATTATTAAGGCATGTGAAAGCATGGGCTTCATGTTCAGGCAAGCCCAGCAGAATCTGTAGGTCGAATTAAAACACTTGATTCCACCTGCTTCTACAAGAGCTTCGGGCTTTTTGTTTCCATATAAATTACATTTTTAAAAAATCATATCCTCATGCTTGCTCCCTGCTTCTCCTATTCTTCATTTAACTATAATCTCACACTCGCAGGCACGCATGAGATGTTGCAGCACCAAGACAGGATTGCTCCTAACACCACGCTCAGGCTAAAACAAAACCCTTTAAGCCCCAGAACACAGCCTATAAACCCCAGCGACAGAAAGGAACCACGCTCGATCTGTCCAGCAGGATTTGCAGACAGTTCCACCAGCACAAGCCTTCTTTTCCCAAAACACAGCCCCYGAGAGAGCCAGCAGCACCAGAGCTCTGATGACCTCTAGCAGTGTCCTTCCCCCCTCCCCTCCCAGCTCCGCCGACGCTCAAAACTACAACAAAGTAGGAGGCACAAAACTTCATCTTTTTGCATGGCCTTGATCACAGGGAGAAAACAGGGCCCAGAGCTGCACTTGCCCGATACCTTTTGTTTGACCCAGCATTGAAAATACCGTRTTGGGGCAGGGGGCAAACTCAAGAGTGGAATTTTTGTCAAAAGAAACATAGAAATGTAATATTCATTTAAAAAAAAATTAGTTCAGCTGAATCTCACAAGCATTTTTTTTTTCCTTATGTTATGCACTGGAGACTGAGCAAAGCAAAATGCTCTGGAGAAACAACAACACATTAGACTTGTGCTTCTCTACCACATCCACTCTCCAGCTCTTGCAGAGCTTCCCATAAATTACCGCGTGCATTTCGCAGGGGCCCTCCCATCACAGGTGAGGGGACCTCTCCAAAAAATGACTTTGGGAAATGACACGAGCAGCAGCTTTCACCGTTTGCAAGTAAGTCACTCCCACCTTGAAACGCGCTCGCCAATACATAAAWAATCAATCAAAAGAAGCACAAAGTTCCCTGCAGAAAGCATTCCGCAGCCCAACACCAAAAAAAAAGTTGGATTTTACTCCACGGCTTTTTCAATGTCACCGCTCAATAAAATATAAGGCCGGGGGAGGAGCCAGCGGTCGGTATGGGCGAATTCGGATTTCGAAAAAAAAAAAAGGACTTCCTATTGCCTTTCCATTAATGCTAGCAAAAAAGAAAAAAAAAAAAAAAAAAAAAAAAAAAAAAAAAAAAAAAAAAAACCCAAAAAAGTAAGTTACCGCTTTTGGTAAGTTAAAAGGCAGAGCCTAAGAAAAATACAGAGGAAAAGGCGAGCCGTGCAAGGTCCCGGTTCAATGACAGCCTGACACCGGCCGCGCCAGCGGGGCTCGGAGCGCCCGGGTCGCGTCCCCGCCGCGCCGGGAAGGGCGCAGGGCAGCCCCACGCAGCACCTACCGTCTTGGAGTCCAGCTCGTGGTGCGGCTGAGCCAGGACTTTGTCTACACTCGCCGGATCCGCGAACGTAACGAACCCGAAGCCTCTGCGAGAGACAAAGAGCGAGGGGATGGCGGGGGTGGTGATGAGAATTAGAGCCAAAGGGAGAAGTCATAAAAATAAACCGCTGGGTGCCCCCCTTCTCCTCCCCTTCCCCGAAGCCTCCGGGTGCAGAGGCGGCCGGCCCCGACCCCCGGCCCCTCTCCGGCTCCACCGGCCGCTTTGTTTCCTGCTCCAGGCTGGAGGGATGCGGGCGGGGAGAGCCCTCCCGCAGCGCCCCACGCGTGGGGTGGGATTTTGGGGTGGGATTTTGGGGTGGGACTGGGGGGGGTGCGGGTCCACCCGCCCCGACAGCAACTCGCGAAGTTTTGTCAGCCCGAGCGGGGTGGGCGGCGGTTTTACCTGGAGCGCTTGGTTGTGGGGTCCCGCATGACCATACACTCCCTAATTTCTCCGAATTTGCTAAAATAGTCTCTAAGGCTGTCTGCGGAGAGAGAGAGAGCAGAGAGGGAGAGGAGGGTGAGGGATGGGGGGGCGCGGGCAGGGCCCGGCGCGGCGGGACGCGGCCCACGCGGGGCGGGACACGCGTGGGGAGGGGGCGGCGGGCGGGGGTTACCTGGTGAGGTTTGCCAGCTGAGGCCGCCGATGAACATCTTGCTGGAGGGAGAGAGCAGAGCGGAGTTGAGCGCCGGTGCGGGATCGGCCATTTTGACGGGGCAGCTCCCGGCGGGGCGGAGGGGCGCGGAGCGGAGCGGCGCGGAGCGGGGCGGGCCCGCCTGACCGCCCCTTGCCGCCGCGCTCCGCGCCCCCGCCGCCCCGCCGACTTACCCGGGGTCGTGCTGCGCCTCTCCGGGGCTCCCCGAGGTAGCCTGGCTCCCGTCCGCCTCCATGGCCGCGCCGAGCGAGAGCCCCTGAGAGAACCCCCCCCGCCCGCCCAACCCGCCCCCCCCGGCCCGGCTCCGGCTCGGTTCGCTCCGCTTGCTTTGCCCCTTTTTCCCTTCCCCCCTCCTCCTCCTCCTCCTCCTCCCTCCGCTACCGGAGGATCTCACTGGAGAGGCGCTGGGGCAGCAGCCAGATCCGTCACACGTGGGATCGGCTTAGCTCAGCGCCGCGCCGGCGCTCCCTCCCCCCGCCGCCATCCTCCCCTCCCTCCATCCCGCCCCTCCCTCACGGGGGCGGTGCCTCCGCCGGCGCGTGGCCCTGCGTGACGTCACCGTGACGTCACCGCGCCCTCCCCGCGCAGCTCCCGCCCCCCCCCTCCCCGCGCGCGTGTCCGCGGCTCCCGCGAGTTCGCGACACCGGGGAACGGGACAGTGTGACACCCGGGGACAGCGACACCGGGGAACGGGACAGTGTGACACCGGGACACCGTGACACCCGGGACCCTAGCACCGTGACACCGGGGAACGGGACAGTGTGACACCCGGGGACAGCGACACCGGGGCAACGGGACAGTGTGACACCCGGGGACAGCGACACCGGGGCAACGGGACAGTGTGACACCCGGGGACAGCGACACCGGGGAACGGGACAGCGTGACACCGCGACACCGTGACACCCGGGACCCTAACACCCGGGACCCTAACATTGCGACACCGGGGAACGGGACACCGGGACACCGTGACACCGTGACACCCGGGACCGTGACACCGCGACACCGGGGAACGGGACAGTGTGACACCGCGACACCGTGACACCCGGGACCCTAACACCGGGCACCCTAACACCGGGGACCGTGACACCGCGACACCCGGGACCCTAACACCGGGACACCGGGGAACGGGACAGCGTGACACCGTGACACCGGGGACCGTGACACCCGGGACCCTAACACCGCGACACCGCGACACCCGGGACCCTAACACCCAGGACCCTAACACTGCGACACCGGGGAACGCGACACCGCGACACCGTGACACCCGGGACCGTGACACCCGGGACCCTAAACACCGCGACAACGGGCACCGTGACACCGCGACACCGGGCACCGTGACGCCCGGGACCCTAACACCCGGGACCCTAAACACCGCGACACGCGGGGACAGCGACACCGTGACACCGTGACACCCGGGACCCTAACACCGGGGACCGTGACACCGCGACACCCGGCACTGCGACACCGGGCACCGCGACACCCGGGACCGCGACACGGGGGACAGCATACCCAGGACCCTAACAGCGTACACCCGGGACCGCGACACCGCGATACCGGGCACGGCGACACCCGGCACCCGGGGCTCTGACACCCAGGACCGCGACACCGGGCACCGTCCGCCCGGTCCCGTACCACTCTTCACCGTCCACCCCGGCCCCCGTCCCGCACCGACGGGCGGCTCTTGCCCTAAATCGGCTCTTCCCTGCCCGCACCCCGCTCTGCTCCCCGTCCCGCACACTCAGGCGGGTCAGCGAGTCATTCCCGGGGC